GTGCTCTGTATTCAGTTGTCCCCCCCCCCCCAGAATCCTCATGCTAACAATAATTATTCACTTGTAATTTCATGAAAACATTTTCTAATAACTTTTAACCATTTTCTTTCTGATGCTGCTCCAAATATTAAGTAAGAGCAAACTCCCCTTTTTCCATTCAATTCTTCTGAAAAAGCAGAGAAGGGCATAGAGTTGCATGGAGATCTGCAACTACTGTATGTTTTTAATTACAAATAATTCATCTGAGCTGTTCATATCTACTTCTCATTGCAGCTAATCAGGAAGGATATCAAGCAAATTGGACTTTAATTCATTCTCCTGGGAAGGGAGAGAAGTCATGGGGTATTTAAATGTCTTGATTAGTCCATTAGAAGGAATCATCATGAGTTGTCTGTGTAATTGTAATTAAGTGAAGCAGACTGCCCTAGCTTTTCTTACAGAAGAGAGTATATAATTAGTTTGTTCTTTAAAACATTTAGTTCGAAGTATTTAACACAAAGGGTAAAAAAATTAAAATAATAATAGAATTCCTGAGAATAACTGTTTTTCAAGAATCAATAGGATACTGAAATAATAAAAGATACGTAACACCTTTTATCTGGTGACCTGCAGATATTTTAGATTTTAACACCCATCATTCTCAGCCTGCAAGACTTTTCCTCTGTCAATTCTTGGAGTTCCACATGTCTGGATGGTGTAGTTTGAGAAAGTCTGCTCAAGACCGCATTTATAAGTGTGTGGGCAAATGTATTTCACATCCACAAAAAATGCTTTGCTTCTTGTCCAGGGTCCAGGTAACTGCTTGAAGTGTGCTCACGTAATAGATGGTCCACATTGTGTTAAAACATGTCCTGCTGGCATTTTGGGAGAAAATGATACCTTAGTCTGGAAATATGCAGACGAAAATTCAGTATGTCAGCTGTGCCATCCAAACTGTCTTCGTGGGTAAGTGGAAATTCCTTTTTTTTAAACGTAATTGAAAATTAATTGAAAAGATTACATGTTTTAATTTATAAAATTTCAATGTATGAACAAAATAAGAACCTTAACTAGCTCATGAACATGAAATCAATGCACAATCAAATATATAACTGATGCTATAATTGATTTCTTTAGAATTGTTATAATATGGTGACCTATGAATTACCAGGGAGCAAAAATCAGCTTTGATGAGGAAATTTTAATCGATAGAATTAAATGAGTACTGTAAAAGAATTGCTGTAAGGTTGCCCAGCATTGCTGCTCTGTTCTGATTTAAGCGTCATCCCCATAGCTGCTACTGATACTTTTCAGAAGCCCATGAGATATCATAATGGTTCTCTTTCCACACCATAACTAAGTTCTCAACTGTATAAAGGCTTACAACAAAGCTAGTTTCGAGAATTGGAACTATAGTGCCACCTGGTGGATAGCTAATATAAGGTATTTCAGAGTCCACTAAAATTATTGGAAGATTGGTTTATAATCTATCTATCTATCTATCCTAGTTTCGAGAATTGGAACTATAGTGCCACCTGGTGGATAGCTAATATAAGGTATTTCAGAGTCCACTAAAATTATTGGAAGATTGGTTTATAATCTATCTATCTATCTATCCTAGTTTCGAGAATTGGAACTATAGTGCCACCTGGTGGATAGCTAATATAAGGTATTTCAGAGTCCACTAAAATTATTGGAAGATTGGTTTATAATCTATCTATCTATCTATCTATCTATCTATCTATCTATCTATCTATATATATATATATCTTATATATATATCTATAATCTATAAACCAATCTGGGAATTATAAATCTATGGGGATTAAATCCTATTGGTTTTATCCTGGTAATTGTAATTTGGTGCTAGTACTGACAGTACTCTACAGGAAAAATCCCTAGCTTTTTCTTAGTTTAAATGTCTGTTAAACCACTGTAAACCCTCAGTTTAATGGACCTTGATTTAGTGGATTTCAGATACAATGGACAAATTATTTAGTGAATTAATGTCCATTAGTTTTATGGCAAATGGTGCCTTTGATTTCAATTGTGTAATAATATAAATTGACATAAACAACAAATTCACATTTAAGAGACATTCAGATTTAGCAAACTTTCTGAATGGTTCATTATACTGAGGTTATACAGTATTATATAGATACTCCTTTATGGAACTGTGATATTTTGAAAGAGCAGGCAAGCATACGAAATGAAATGGTTCACAGCCACAGAGCAATCATGCGTGCTGAAATGTTTAAGACTAATATATTGACTTTTCACCCAGCATAGAACAGCAGGTTATAGTCCAGTGTATAAAATCACAAAAACCAAGCCCTCTTTGATATCAAGACAATGTGTTTAAATTGGGGGACTTCTTGGTCAGTGAAAATAACAGTCTTGCCAGCACATTCCCAACAATGCATTGTTACTAGGAAACCCTTACATGAAAACAATGTTGGCTCCCTTGAAATATTACACTAGTCACATGGGATCATTTTTCCATGAAGATTAAATACTTGACCATGTATTTCCATGACCTAAATACTTGTGTAGACATAATCACAAGGATCCTGATTATCAGATCAATGTTCTGTTAGGGTAGGTATTGATTCTCTGGGAAGGCTCTGTAGACTTGGCTCCCATATGTATAAACGCGCCACCCACATGGAAGTTATTTGTATAAAAATGACAGCCACGTGGCTAGGATAGCATGAATGTAAAACATCTGTAGCTCATTAAATGTAATGCCTCATCCTTAAAGGCTGCATAATCACACAAGGTAACACAAAATAGATTCATGTTCTAAAGTTGCAATTATAAGAGTGATCCTCAGTGAAACATGCTTGAGTATACTGACTGAAAAATTGGGAAGCAGAGACTAGTAAACTAATTCTATTTACAAAGACTAATTTGTAATTCAGACCTACAGAGATACTTAGCAGATTTTTATTCTGCTCCACAATAATGATGCAGCTGTTGTTTTCCAGTATAAAATGGCCACTGGTTAATAGTTTTAATGGCTTGCTTTGGCACAATGATGCTGCAGTGTATAGGTAGTGTAATTGTTCCTCTTTCATCACCGCAGTGGCAAGCAATAAGCCAGACAGAGACGATGTTACAGTCAAGATTGATTATTACATGTATACTGATAGAGATCTGCAACAGAGATGGGAAACCTCTAGGGAACACCAGGACTGTAGTCTAGACTGGGAAGTCAAAAAACATTCCAGAAGAAGGGAGTGGCAAATCACTTTGGTATTGTTGCCAAGAAAACCGCATGGATGTGTCCATGACATCACCAGGAATCAAACTTGACTCAAAGGAGACTTTACTTTGCCTTTATTGGGGCATAATATAAGCCAATCATTTAGGAATCACTTCCCACCCTTACAGAGGTTGTGATTTTCAGGTTGTCAGCATCTTTTAGGTCTGATCGTATTTCAGAGTTTGCATTTGTGGTTTTGTGTAAAGATTGTTCAGGTTGTCAGCATCTTTTAGGTCTGATCGTATTTCAGAGTTGCATTTGTGGTTTTGTGTAAAGATTGTTCAGACTGATTTGATTGAGAGATGTGGAATAATGTCTGAGGCATAGGCACACATAGCTGGTATTTCTCCTGCGATAATGAATTTTGCTAGGGTCACTAGTGTCACCATAAAAGGTTGTATTTTAATTGCTTTATACTTTTTGTAAATCATGCTGGAAATATAATTGAAAGTTCTGTGTAATAAATAAAATATCTTGGCCTCACCTGCCTACCTCCATTGGTGGAATGAGGATAGAATAATGTCCCTTAGAGAATTATTTAAAGGATTGCTAGGATACTGAATGTGAAGTTGTTTGAGAAGAAATGCAATTATCTATTATTGCTTCTTATTAAATAGTAATAGCAAGTAACAAATGGAAAGAAACAAATCCTTATCTCTATTATACTAAATTGTTTTTTTAAAAATTCTTGTATACATTCTGAGAACTTGTAAATATAATGTGAGAAGCTTGCAGTCCCAATTTTTCTGAGGTGTAAAAACCTTGGCCACCTGAAAGTTTAACAGAAGCTCCTGAAACATGAAAAGCATCCCAGACATAGGACACTTACAGATCAATAGCTTTCCCATACCCTAAACCTTTTGATCTCACAATTAAAATGAAGAAAGGGTTGAGAGGCCTATTCGGATTATTTACAATCATCTGTAATTGGCTTGTCTCCTGACCTGCAACTTCTGTCCTCTCAGAAGTCTGATAGTCAATCATAATGTGCCCTTCCTAGTCAATAGATGAGAATTATTACCAGGGAGCTGGCCAGTAAGGGTTGTTTAACTGACGCTGACATCAAGACATGATGGGATCCTGAGAGCAGGAGACAGGTCAAGCCAGACATTTTATTTACTGCCTGCAAATGGAAATGTCCCATTTGCAACTATCCATGTAACTGCAGCTGTAAGGACCTACTGCTATAGAAATCACCCAGAAAAATGTGTTTGATCATGGAGGAGAATCAGCATAACCTGTGATCAGATCCACACCCCATCTAGACCTTCCCTGAATTGTTTTGCAGTCCCATGCCTTCACCGTTCATTAAGGTACATAAAAGAACCTGAATGTTACATTCTTAGGGTACCGCCTTAGTCTTACTTTCCTGAAGTAAGTCCCATTAAACTGAACTAAACTTACTTCAGAGTAGACATAATAATTCTCTTATGAGAAGCTATAGAAATTACTTTAAACTGATCCAATATCTCAACAACTTGCTGAGAATTGACTTAAATGGAAATAAAGAAAAAAAAACTATAAAAGTTGTGAGGGAAAATTAGCCTTAATCAAGCAGTAAACATATGCTAATCAAGGAAATACCAGAGGAGCAAAACAAAATCCCCACCCCCACCAGCACTGGCAAGGCAGGCCACAGCATATAAATAGAGGGCAAACCCCATCCCCTTTTTGCAATTAAAAAGGTAACCAGCCCAGTTATTAAACAATTGCCAG